CTGAGGTGTGTAAATTGGGGAAAACTGAAACCCTAAATTGCATCAAATAGAGAGAATAATAAAGGGAAATTTGCTCGAAATAAAGGAAGACATTATTACTCAGAGAAGAGAGAGGTCTTTACAAAAGGTCAAGTGCTTGAATTTTAGCAAAACGTCGTCGTGAATGATGTTTGACGAATTGATGGTGGATGGGTGAACCGCCTCAGTCTCGGCCTCTCGGTTTTATCATTAATAAACTCTTACGGAATGGTCTAGTGAGTAGGGATCACGGGTCGAACTTGTTTTGACCCAAATAAGGGTCAACGCATGCTCGATGTAGTTGATACTCAGTAATATTTGGCTTTGTAAAAGGTAAATAAATTAATTATGTGTATTTTAATTTATTACCATTTTGAAGTCATATATTAGTAACCTGTTGTTGTGAATGATGTTTTTTTGATGAATTTATGATGGATGGGTGAACCGCCTCAATCTTGGGTTCTCATTCATAAACCCGTTTATTGTAATTATTATGGGTTGAAGTTGCTTTTAAATAAAGAAAATCAATCAATTTCTTAGGCATACTCGATATGGATTATGGGTTGAGCTTGCTTTTAGACCAAAAAAAATAAAGTTTAATTTCACGCATACTCGATAGTGATCATAAATAAAATGTTGGTCAATTGCAAAAACATCCTTGACGACAATCAATTACATTTGAATTTGAAAAAGGCGAAATATATACTAGGTATATTTAACAAATATACTAGCAATAAATCATGGGAAATTTGTAAATATTAAGTCAACCTTTTGGCCGTCCGCTTTTATTACGTCAACCTTTTGATTATTTCTGAACACGTCAACCTTGTAGTAGCATTAATCTTTATTACGTTAAAATAAAAAATGACTTGCAAAAACAGGTTAATTGCTTGCATGAAGGTAAAAAAAGGCTAATTTTTTCAATTTTCCCATTTTTTATCCGACTTTCTATTCCACCTTTTTCCATCCTTCTTCTTTGTTCTTCTTCCCCATATTTCCTCTTTCATTTCTTACTTCATCTTCTCCACTCTTCCTCTTCATTCCCAAGAACTTTAACTCTTCAATTGTTTAATTCTTGTATTTGTTATCGCCAGTCAGAAATTTACAAGAACCATATATAGTCAAACTAGTTTGAAGGTAGAGAATTAGTTTGATCACAAAACCTCTTTATATGTACAAATAGTGCTTGTATTTGATGTTAATCCCCTTAAATCAATATGAATAGACAATCCACATAATTAAAATTGCTCCAAAGTGAATGCTATTGAAGACCGCTAATTTAATTGAGAGTATTAGAGTGTGATTCAAAGAGGATTATGGAAAAAGAGGTGGTGGGGTGGTTGGGGGGTGGCTGAGGTGGTTTTTAGGCAACGATGGTGGGGTTTGCTAGTGTGAGTGTGCGCGGATATGAGTGAGCAGCGATGATGGTGGGTCATGGGTTTGATAGGAAGAGGAAGGAATAATGGAGTATGTAAGTTTAATGGAGTTGAAAAATGAAGATTAAAGGAAGTGTGGATAATAAGGGAGATCGTTAGTTTGCATAAGACTATAAGAGTACGAGTAGAGTTAATTAGTTGGCATTATTAAATGCTAACTTTTATTTTTTTTGGTTTAAAAATGTTAATTCATTTTTTTATTTCAAATTTTAGAAATTATTAAGGGTTTATCCGGTCACCGGTAAAAAAACGTAATAAAAATTAATGCTATTACAAGGTTGACGTGTTTAGAAATAATCAAAAGGTTGACATAATAAAAACAGATGGCCAAAGACTTAATATTTACAAAATTTCCTAAATCATGTGCATCTATACTAACATTTGATAAAAGGAAATTTTACAAACAATATATGTTGCCATGTGTTTCACTCTTATTGGTACACTTTTTTATTTTTATTTTTCCCTTTAATTATTTATTTCTTCATTTCTTGTATATTGTTTACTAAAGGGACATTTGCATATTGTGATTTATCTTTTTTACAAACAAAAATTTAGGGTCTGTTCTCATTGACTGAACTGAATATTTTATAAGAGAAGGAAATTAGGAGCTGAACTGAACTGAATTGAATTTCAACGTAAGAGAACATGCCCTTAGTTTCTTTCAAAAATACAACTAACAGTTCACTTGTGTCTCTTGGTTGGTTCTACCAATTTCTTATATAATACTCCAGGAGATAGTTGAGTCTAAAAATATTAATTATCACTTCATATATCTTTTTGTGTGGAAATATAAAAAATTGAAAATATGAAAAAGCTTTATTATTTTTACTACTAATCTTTTATTATTTGATTACTATATATAGTTTTTTAAATCATACACTTAATTTAACTTAATTCCAATAAAAGAGCAATCTCAATGTACAATTAAACAACACGTTATAATAAGCATTTTAGCCAAAAAAAAAAAAAAAAAAAAAAAAAAAAAAAAAAAAACATGTGCATTTGCACAGGATAAATACTAGTTAAATTATAAATTCAAGTTGAAAATTCTACACAAGCAAACTCTCTCTCGTCTCAGTCTCTAAGGGTATGTTCTCTTCAGCTTAATTTCATATCGGTTTAGTTTAGTTTAGTTCAATTCAGTCCAGTTCAACTCCAATTAGTTCAGTTCTTAATTTCCTTCTTTCATAAACAATTCATTTCAGTTCAGTTCAGCTTCAATTAGTTTAACTCAGTAAATCAGAACATACCCTAAATACATAATGATATGACTCCAAAATGGTAATTATAAGAGTGAATAAGGCTGTCAAAAGTCGACACGACACAAAATAAACGGGTTTGAGTCAAGAATTCTCAACCCCTTTACATAATTGGGTCGACACGAACATGACACAAAATTAAACGGGTCAACCCGAAACCAATACACACAATCCGATTATATAAATAGGTTGAACGACAACCCATAAATCCAAATCCGATACGCTTAATCTTTTTTTTTTTTGAAGGATGATACGCTTAATCTATTAATTAAGTAGTAAAAAAAACTGATTTTTTATTCAAAACTTGTAATTTTGTAAATTACCTTGACATTATTTATACATTTTGTTATTTTTTTGGCGGTTAATTTGGCAAAAAAAATTATAATTTCTTCTTTTAAAAATTAAAATTTAATTTGGGAGTTAATTTGAGACAATTCTTATGTGTGGCTGTATTGTTAAAAGTTTAAAACTACTAGCTTTAGATCTTTATGGTGTCTTTTGTTAAAACTACAAAATTTAAACTGTTGTAGTATCTTTAATGAATTAATGATGTCTGTCTTTTTTATTTTTGAATTGAATATTAATTAGTTTATTACATACTATGTGGGTAAAAGTTTACTTGGGTAACACATTTAATAAGCGGGTTAGGTTTGGGTCAAGAGTTTTCAACCCATTTAATAAACGACTAGGTTTGGGTCAGTGGTTTTTCAACCCGTTTAACATCGACACAAACACAAACCCGACACAACACGACTCGTTTGATAACCCTAAAAGTGATGGATAGCCCAAGTGGTTAGACCTTCCCTTTCAAATCCATGTTGTCTTATGATTGATTCTCTTTACCTATCCTTGTGTACTTTAAGCGTGAACCTTCAACAAATCTTTTGTTATACTGGTCGTTGGAGCACGCGCGATGCGCGTGCTCCCCCGACGGTAAGATAAGTAGAGTTCGTGGTTGTCTTCATTTTTGTGATATTCGTGATTGTTGTTATTCAGGTTTTATAATAGCAAGGATACATGAATTAAGTACTAACAAGGAGTAGTGATAAAGTTTTTATTGGAAAATAGCTATGGGAAAACAATTGTTATAAGTGAAGTTATCTAGAATTTGTTATAAGTTAAAGATTTTTTTTAAAAAAATTATACTATTGTTTTAGATATTATTTTAGAACACACTCGTTTTCTTATCGAGTACCTAAATAATTTTAAAAATAGCTTCGTTTTAAAATGATTTTGAGAATAAGGAGTAATAATAAGGAAATGCAAAGTTATGTAAAATGGATTAAATGTAAAATATATGATAGAATTGTATATTAGTTTATTACACTTTTTGAAGTAGAAAATTTTCAAGTGGTTCTTCTACTGAAAATATAGTAATTAGAATTTGTAATCAATACGAAAAGTATAAAATTAATGAGAAATATGATTTGTGTATGTATTAAAGTATATTTGCCGGTCATTTATTTATATATTATTATATGTACAATTATATGTTGGGAGGGAATAGCTTTACACTTTTTATATTTAAGATTATAGTCGTTGGAGCACACACGACACTACGTGTGTGCCTCCCCGATGGTATGATATGTAAGATTCGTGGTTAAGATCGCGTTTTATAGTTTGGGGTGTTATTAACATGATAAATTGATGTTTATGGGATCTTATTTGTGAGGTAGTCACTAACTTGATTTTAAGTTCTTTCTATCTTTTATTCCTTCATATATACCGTCTCTTATATTTCTTCCTAGTCTTATCTCATTTCCCTTTTCTATTCATCCTTGCTTTCTTTTGACCTTCTTGTTCCTTTTTTTCTTCAACCTATCCACTCTCTTGTATATATAGTTGGAATTGTTTAGTGAGCCCCTCTCTCTCTCTCTCTCTCTCTTATTCTCACCCGACCCTTCTCACTTTCCCGACTCATCTCTCTTTATCACTCTATCTCATTTCTCTTTTCTATTCATCCTTGTATTCTTTCACTTTCTTGTTCCTTTTTTCTCCAACCTATCCACTCTTCTAGTATAGCTCAAACGGTTTACTAAGCCTCCCTCTCTCTCTTATTCTCTCCCGACCCTTCTCTTTTTCCAGACTCATTCCCCTCTTTATCACTATCTCTCTCTCCTTGCCCCTAAGTCTCTTATTTGCTCTATTTCTTTCTCTTCTGACCCTTATCTCTCTCTTTTTCTCCCAGACACTCTCTCTCTCCCTCTCCCTCCTCCTGGCTCATCTCTCTTTCTTTTACCTTTAAAAGCTTAAAATACAGCTGTTGAAAAAAAACCAGAGCATAATGTACAACCAATTAACAATTTAACATGCAACTTCCACTCCAAATTATCCGAAACAAAACAAATTGATTATATTCATAGATTATACATGTATCCAAAAGAACATATTAACACAACCAGTTGGACAAGAATCAAACCAAGCTATATAGAGCACATGATCAGAAGATAATTTACAAAGAATATAGAATTCCGGGCCTAGAAAATTCTCGACATTAGAAGAATCTCAAAATGTGTAAAAGAATAAGTTAAAAAGCTATGAAGCTCAATATTATTTGAAGTCATAATTGTCATCGCTATATGCTTGATGCAATGAGCTGCAGTTGCTACCTTAGAGTATTAACCTGAAAGAGTCAGACCAGAACTCAAATTAACCAATACCAAATATTTTAGTTGAAAAGGAATTCTTGATATTACAATTGTAGTGTCATCATATAACTTTTGCCACAAAGTTAATACAAAATAGTATGTTACAAGCTTAGATCAATACTGAGATAGTTTTCTTGTTTTTGCAAGCATACCTCATTGTTTTATCTGTTACCACACTTATTGATCCCTAATCAAAAGCATAAAGTGTAATAATAGTATAATACAGAATTTCAAGTTCACAATTACATAAACTACAAAAGAAACTATACGGATCGTTGGGCACTCTGCTAATAATTTATAATAAAGTAATACATGGCTGTCCATTTTGAATCAAGAGTGCGTTATAAAGGTTTAATCATTAAAGATAATTCAAAACAATTAGTTCAATTTTGAAATCATACAATCTTTTAATAAAAGAAATATTAGTCATCTTTTTTTTAAATGAAAATTTACCGAAGACCAAGAGCAACAGTTCCAAGATGGTTACGAGAGGGCTCTTGACTCCTCTGCTTGTCAGAGCAAATTATCTTGCAACCTTCATTAATAAAAAAATCACTTGGACATTTAACGATCTTAAAAAATAAATAAGGCCCTAACTTTAGAATGCTGAGAAATCAAATCTCTGTTTTTTACCAAATTGCATCGAAAGCACCCCAAAATTAGTAAAATGATACTCTTAAAGCATATTATAAAGTTAACCTATACAGTCTATGCTACTCTATATTTTTTATACTTTTCTTTGTAATAATAACATTAGTAAAATGATACTCTTAAAGCATACTATAAAGTCAAGAGTGTACCTTCATCATCATTCATAGCATAGTGTCGGGGGGGGGGGGGGGGTTCTACCTTTTTGAGATCCATTGTCTATCCGTTTCTACGGCAATTTCCCTCATCAAATGTTCTGAAGAAGTAAAAAATCATCACAAAAATGAAAATGAAAAATAGAGTACAGAGGATGAATTATTTGCTGAAAATTAAGGAAACTGAACACGAGAAAACAAAACAATTGGAATTACAGCATTGTTATTGTTTATATTCACACAAAAGTTTTAAATCGAAAAATTAACCCCCAAAAAATAGAGACTATTAGATAATCGGACTTAATCAAGATCAAACCAAATAGCAATTTACTTAACACTCGAACAACAATACAAAACGCCAATTTTGAAACAAGATGAGATATGATCCAGAGTGGCAAACTAACCATGTAAATTTACTAAAAGCAATCTCTGCTAATAAAGAATGCATAATCAGAATCAAACAAAATAATAACATATTAAAGTAGTAACAATCGTACACACACATAATAAATAGGACCAATCTAAAGCAAGATGGATACGATCCACAATCACTAACCACTTGATTTTTTGAAAAGTAGCTTATAAAAGTAGTAACTCTAAGTCTAAAGGATATATATAATGTCTACCATTACCTTAACCAAAAAAAGCATATGGTTTACAGAATCAAGCAGCATGTTAAAAGCATCATATATATTAAGTGTTCAAATTTTTATTGTCATTAGCTCAATTTTGAAATCATACAATCTTTTCATAAAAAAAATATTAGAGTCATCTTTTTTAAAAATGAAAATTTACCGAAGAGCAACAGTTCCAAGATGGTAACGCGAGGGTTCTTGGCTCCTCTGCTTGTCAGAGCAAATTATCTAGCAAACCTTCATTAAGAAAATAATCACTTAAGACATTTAACGATCTCAATCAGATAAATAATTAAGGCTGCAATTGGCTAAGAAAGGGCAATTTCGGCAGTTCCTTAAAATTAAGGGCAGCTATGTAATAGCACCAAAAAATACTATTCATAAGGAATGATAAAAAAATGACAAAATTTTAGCTGTTACATGAAGTAAAGTTTCATATCAAGCCATCAAGGATCTTTTTTTGGAGACCAGTTTATTAGCTGTTTAGTCAGCTAGAAGTATGGTAAAAACAACAAATTTTGGGCAAAATAAAGCCAATGAGAAAAAGCCATTCCAGATTTTCACCCAATTGAAAAATCATTAACCATAATCTAATACTAATTAATCAAGTTAGTAAGATAATTGCCAAAACCAATCAAGTACCTAAAGCCATGTCAGAGTAATAAAACAAAAAAGTACCTAAAGCCATATAAGCCAAATTGAACGTCAAAATAATTAGTCAGAATCTTCTAGGACATGCAATTGGTACGCAAGGATCTAGGGGAGCTATGGTATTGGAGAAAAAGTTCATTGAGCAGCAAGTAGCACCCCTTTAAACGCAATAATTCTGAAGGAGGGCAAAAAATCCAACTCACTCCTATTCAAGGAAATAAAAAATACTGAAGACTAAATTATAGAATTGAGAAGCAAAAGAATACAACTTGTCCCAAATGTTGCATATAAAAGTACCACATAAAGTAGCACTGCAAGGTCCATATGCCTCTGCTTTAATGTTGACCTAGCCCTGCTTTTCAGCATGCTGAAACTTGCAAAAGCTTGAAAACTTAAAATCAAATTCCAGAATCTCAAAAAGCCTTTCAAATAAGATAATATAGATGGTGAATTGTCTATGCATGACATTAGTAACTCCTTGAACTCTCATGCTATTAATGACTCTAGGTCATCCGGAATAATTCCCAATTGACCTGTGTTCAAGCAGTTGACATGTTTATCAATTATCACTATATATTTATGTGTTCCTTCCATCCTACCATGGCATGCATTATAAATCCTAGTTGTGCCTGAAAAAATAAATAACACCCAAACTGCCTCCTATATCAAATCTAACCATTGGTTAATACACAAGTGCAACAAATGGTACAAAATTATTAACTGCTAGAGTGAATTAGAAAAACCAAGCAAAAAATCTTTTGTAACCCAGAAGATACTATGAAAACTAAAATCTGGCAGTGGGACAGCGGGATCGGAACTCATAAGATATGAAATTATAAGCTGCTGACGGCAGGCTTACAGGTTATAAGTAATAGACTCAAGCTTTCGCTGAATTACAAAATTCCCTTAGTCCGACACACCAAACTTCTAAGGTCTAAATTAGTAAGAGTGGAGTAGATACCTCTTTTCCATCAATCCAGAGTTCTGTCTAACCTCCAAATTCAGGTCTTCCAGCTTGGAACAGGGTTCAAAAGCCTTTCCTTCTTCGCAGGAAAGGAAGCAGTGCAAATAGCTTATTTATGCTAACTTTAGAATGCTGAGAAATCAAATCTCTATTTTTTTACCAAATTGCATCGAAAGCACCCCAAAATTATGAACTAATTGAATTAAACCGGAAAACTACAATTTTAAAACGTATTGAATTGAATCGAAAAATCCCCACAATTTTAAACGAACTCAACTAAATTAGAAACCCCCAATTTTTTATCAAATTAAATTGAGAAATTCTCAATTCTAAAATGATTAGAATAAAGGAAACCATGGGAATGAAGATAAACCTTAGTAGCAAGCTAGTAAGCTAGAGTCATTGAATTAGTTATCAATATATCAAGAACACACACACAAGTACTCAATTAGGAAGGAAGCACAGCAGCCCCAAACAAAACAAATTAAACAACCCTTGCAGCAGCAACAAGCACGGAAAAGTGATACTCAAGAAGAAGAACATAATAACGATCGCACCACAACAACTAACTCACAAGCACCGCACAACGATCCCACACACTACCACACCACAACGATCCCACACACTACCATAATACCCACAAAATAATTCCTAAGCAAATAATTTATGCTGGGTAAGTGTTAATCAATTGCTTTCATATTCAAATTAAATTCAACTCTGCCAAATGCCATTAACAAAATTTCAGCATAATTAACCCATTATTCCTTAATACATACCCATAATTCCTTAATCAACAAACCATAATTAACCAAAGAATTCTTCAAACAAATAAACAGATAAATCAAGTACCAATTACTGATTTTGGGTATCTATGTAAATGGCACCAATAGCTTGTGAATAGTACCAATTACTGATTTTGGGTACCTGCTCGGAGGAGGCCTTTGTTGTAGGGAAGGGAGCCGCAAATGGGGGCGTTTTGTTGTTTTAATTTTTCACGCACAAATTACCATCACCTAAACCTGCATTACGAAGGAAAAAAAACTGATGAAAATCATCAATCTCCCAAATCCTTACTAATTAAAACAACAAAAACGCAGAAAATGAAAAAAAAAAATTAAAAACAACAATCTAGATCATAGAAAAGGGGAAGAATTTCTGTAACCACCCAAAGAATTCAACTGCGGAAAAAACCCAGAAATAAACAATAATTTAATCAGTCAAATAAAAGGAAAATCTAATTGAAGAGATGAACACAAAAAATAAACAAAATTAAATCATAAATTTTATGGTTTTGTAGCTCAGAAACTGCTCCAATGGAGGAGATAGAGAATGAGAGCGGGTAGAGGAGAAACGGGAGGAGAGAGAAATATAGTGAGAGGAGAAGAAGGAAGAAGACTTAAGAGTTAAGAGAGAGAGAAGAAAAGCAACTCTTGCAAGAACAATATACCCCAGCTGTCACTGCAACAAAAGCCATGAAGAACAGCTGGCCTCTCCAATACAGATGGCAAAATCCAAGTGCCTAAGCAAGGGCAAAGTCGGCAATTCCTTAAAATTAAGGGCAGCTATGTCATAACACCAAAAAATACTAATCATAAGGAATAGTAGCAAATTTTGCACTTTTATTATATAATATAATAATAATAATGGTTATGGATTGATGATGATGTGAAGCATTTGATTAAACCTCTTTAGAATCAACTAACCTCAAATTAGCACTCTTATCGCATGTATATCAGGTCAACAAATACAACCCCTAGAGATGTCAAAACCTAACCTAATTTGAAACCGATCAGAAAAAATCCAATTTAAATTTCGATTTGCATGGACACATTAATTATTATGTCCTAAGTTTTAAATTAGATCCAACTTGACGACCGGACCTCATCAAATCCAACCAACCACCTGAATTGATACCTCTAGTTAGGAGTGTTAGAACTTAAAAGTGGGTTAATGGTAAATTGGGCGCAAACAAAAGTATTACAGACTAGAGAATACAGTTTTATAATTACACAGTAAAATCGTTGATTAAACACTTTAATCAATCAATAGTTTACTGGTGCTTAAATGGCATCAAACCTTAAGGTTACTCTGCAACAATGGCGTCTCCTCTATTCCCACTTCTCTTTCCTACATTCTCTCTCTTTGAGCTCTACCTCCTTAAGGTCCTCTTTCCCCTTTCACACTTGTAATTTTTCTGGGTTGTTTCAATCAAGTGAATAATCGCACTATTTTTCATTTCTGATGATATCTTATTCTTCTTATTTTCAGGGCCAAATTTCTTGCTGATTCATTTGCAGCTAATTCAACATTAACCCGTGAATCTTTACATGGGGTTTCTCATCCCCCATCATTCTATTTCCAAGGTAATTAATTTCATTATTTCTTGTTATATTTCTTGTTTATTTGTTTTGTATGTGTTGCACTCTATGTGTTTGTTAAAAGTCCTCAATGCATCAATGATTGAATTACTAGAAAAAGTTGCTTGCTTTCTGTTTTTTTTATAAAGTATTTGTAATTGTTGAAAGATTCTTCAGATTTTGTAACATAGTGTTGGGCTAATATAACTATATAAGTACGAAATTATTACTGCTATAAGAACAGACACTGATTTAACAGAAACATGTTAATATGCTAATACTTATTTTCTAAAAAGGGTAAAGTTTTGGTAAGTTTTAGAGCCCTGATTCGTTGTATCAATGATGTCGTCCATTAGCAAAATCATCCCCTACTTAATAAGGTGGCACAATGATTACTGAATAATTTTGGTGTGAGATACAAATCATACTATTATGCCCGCTACTACACCGATACTGTCAAGAGTGTCAAGTAGTGGTGGATATGTTTGTATGTATGCTGTCTGTATTACATTAGCTAAATTCATCAGCTTCATTCTTTGGACTCTTGAATCTTGAATTTCTGTTATTTCTACTCTCAATCGAGTCAATTTGCAATTCTGAGAAAAGTCGTACTATCTGATGAATCATGTTGTATATTGTACAAGTATATAGTCTAAGCTATGTCTATTACTAGATTTGGGTAATAATTGAATCTGAATGGACTCTTTCTGCAGCAAGATCATATGCCCGAGGTGATAGAAAGCAGTATGATCTTTTTGGTCAAGGACCACCAGGGAGTAAAGAATTTAGGAAGGCATGGACAAGGCAACTAGACGAAGAGGACTGTGTATGGACAGCGAGTGAAGATGAGAGTGATTCTGAGAAGAAATCAAGCCCTCTTGAGAAAGAAATTAAGAAAGTGAAGCAAAAAGCGAAAGAGCACTCTGATCGTATAGATGCTGATGACAGTGACGAGCTTTGGAGTGTATGGTCAGGCAGTGATGAGGAGAAAACTCTATGGACAGGCAGTGAAGAAGATGATGACGATGATATTCCCACAGAACCTTATCCAAATGAGAAGAGTGATGCGTATATAGATAAGTTATTTGAGTTTGAAGAGACTCCTAAGTATAGAACTCTCTCAGAGCTACTGAAAGCTGAAGATGAACCAGAAGAGTTGTCCCCTGGAAAGAAAGCACGGAAACTTGCAGTTGAGAATGCCCTAAAGAAGTTGAAAAAAGGGCCGGATGGAAGGTACACTAATGTTTGGGAAGTGATGAGTGACATAGATATTCTCATTGGTGCATTTGAAAATATTGTTTCGGGGCCAGAGTATGCTGAGCTTAGGCAGGGAGGTCCAAAGCAACTAAACATGCAATTTTTCAAGGACATTCAAGCAAAAATGAGGGATCCCAACTATAAGTTCACTCCAGAACTGAAGTTAAAGCCAAAGAGCAAACTAGTCCGAAGGAAGAAGTGGCAAAAGGCACAATCTAGGAGGCGGAAAGATCAAAAGCGGTAATTGCCACTCCGTTTCATATTCAACTTTTCTTGATTATGCTTGTAGGCTTTTAGGTTACTTTTGTCTCCCTTCATAGTCATACATGTGAACATGCTAATGATCAATTTTGTTAAGATATACTTTATATAGTAGTACTCCGTATATATTTGTGTGTAGTGTGTAGACTGTGTACTGTTGTTCAGCCGTGCTACAACTAATTTAGTGTGAAGTGAGCCTTACTGTACTTAATGTGGTATCTGATAACTTTTTAGTACTTCTGATTTCTGTTTTATTTTATCTATTTTATCTACTGTTACTTTATTAGGTACCGGGAGGTGGCACAGGGGGGTGTATATATTGTACACACTGAACTTTTCAACAGAAAATATACACAATGACTAGATTAAGTTCCTGAAATTCTTGATTCTGTAAACAACTTTCCATTTGCTTTAATAGTCTAGATAACAATCATAACATGGTACTTTGCCAACTTTGGTACCTTGGGATTGCCCATCATCATGTACTACATGCTCGATTATAACACGTAACTAATACAAAGTGTTAGCTATATCATAGCTGCAGCACTTGCAGTTTATTTCACCGGAGAATGTGGTGATGTCTCTTCCTTAGCTAACATGTTCTTTTCCTTCCTAAATAGTAGGAGTATCTCCATCTAGTTTCTGGCTGCTTGTACTACAAGGCTATATGGTAATTAATAGCTTAGTACTGATTGTACATGCTGAGATATCCATCTTGTATCTTGCTATTATTGTTCAGGATGCACACTCTGAGGGTTTGTACTGAGCCATTTACCGTAAAGATTTTGGTTGTATTGGGTTCCCAATAGGTTTTCTACCATCAAGGGTGATGGTTGCTATTGCTGATATCCATAAGCTGCTGGTCCTGCTGGATAGTTTTGGAATCTCTGGAACCAACCCGGGTCAAAAGAACCACCCACATCATATCCATGATGATGATGATAATGGTCATGATACCTGTTACGCTGACCATGATCATGATGCCCTTGAATGCCCATCATTGAGATCATGGAACCAATATCATTTTCATAGTTTCCATCCCCAATAATCCTGTTGGCCATGGGATCCATATAAAGGTTTGCCCTCTCCTCTGCCAGCTCCATGTCTTGGTCTGCATGCCCTTCAACTCCCCACTCACTGCCGAATGATCCCTCACCATGTAGGTTAGGAATCAATTGGTCCAACGAAACCGCTCTTCTCGAGCGGTTGTTATGGTGATGAATTGGGGTCTTGTTTTTGGTTTTTCCTTGAGAGAATAGCTCCTGGTTCAAGTCTAGCTGCTGGTACTTTGGAGTCCACATGCCAATTTCTTGATCAATGTATCTGGGTCAGCAATTCCTATTGTTTCGGGGTTTTCTGATGTCCTGCGGGAGAGTTACAATTCCGAGACTGGAACCGGACGCCTGTACCTGCAAAACAAACGGATGCTCCAGATGATTGGAGATCCGCCTCCGACGGTCAAGTTAGTACTTGATTAAGGAGTAATTAATGCGGAAATTAAAGTGATTGGGTCTCTCTAGGTGAGAGTGTTTAATGTGTGTAATCTGCGTTCCCTCCCTTAATGAGGATTAAGGGAGGTATTTATAACCTCGGGAAACGTGCCAATCTAGGTTTAGGTTAACCTTGGGCTGATTGGGCTTCCCTCGGAAGTTGGGCCTAGGTGACCGGCTTCTCCATTAGGCATGGAGTATGCCACGTGTCATGACATAATAAGTCCAGGGTGGACGAATAAGCGTGTGCCACGTGGCAAGCCCTGAGAGGTCCAACTGGGGGACACTTGGCAGGTACTGATTGGCCTACGTGGCGCATTCCGATTGGTGGGAGCAAAATCCCCTAATCATTTGCCCCTCACAGGTGGCACGTGACTGGTCACGTGTTACCTGTGATAGGTATCGCCCTGTAACAGGCGACGGCCTGCTACAGGTGTCACTCGGCGAGAGGCCGAGAGATTCTCCCGCCAAAATTTTGAATTCTGGAAGTGACCCTTCGCCTATATAAAGGAGTGTTGACTTCGGTCATTTTCACACTTGAAAACTTTGTGAGAGAACATTCGGACCCCTGAACTTGCTCTGACATTTTTGATCCTTTCTGCCTACCGCCTGCTCTGACAAGCCGACTGCAAAGGATTTTCAGAACTTCATCAATCGTCACTCGTTCAAGTAACCGTCGGTTCTCTTACTCTTAATTTTCTCTTTACTTTATTCTTTTTTGAAATGGCACCACGGAAACACACGACACGACCTAAGTTAGTGATCAGCCGGTCACCGGGGACGGCTGAATCTAGGACTAGGAGTGCCGCCTGCCCTTTTCTGGACCCATCTTTGCCCTTTATACAAAGTCCGACTATATCTGTGTCTATGCAGAGCATGATGGCCAGAACAAAAAAGAATGCCAGGATCTCAAACTCAGACGGCTCCTCCCACAGGGTGCCGATTAGTGAAACATCTGACCAGGCGCCAGATGTGGAAGTGAAACAAAGCGGCTTGAAAGCCGGCAGTTCTAAGGGAGGAGTCAAAGTGACCCCTTCCCATTTTACAGTTGACAATTCTACATTCTCTCCTGCTCCTTTGAAAGGAGAGGAGGCGGGCCCCTCCGGGAGAGGGGAGGAGTCGTCCTCTTCGGACT